GTCGAAGGCATATCCGATGAAATGCATGGGGTTCGTGCCAAGTCTCCAGTAATTCAACGGCACTCAATATGCCGTTGTCCCTGTCGGAAAGAAGACATATCGGTCTATCGGGGACGACATGATGGCGCAGATATGTTAGGAAAAAGGACCAGCTAGCCGTGCTTTCTTTGTCCACAATCTCATACGCGACTGGCAATAGGTGCTTATTCGCGGTCTGTGCTATGGCAACAAGCAGCTTCCCCTTGTACGAACCTGCTCAGTTGGACATATGTTTTTTTTATCAGACACTATTGTAAATTAGAAAATAAAATATTAATTTGCAATTAACAAGTAGTTTCCCTTTGTACGAACCTCGCAGGTGCGTGCCGTCGATACTAATAATCGGCGGACAACGAAGGAAGGTTTGAATGGCGGGGCCGAACGCCCAGAAGACAAATCTGAATTCTCTGTCTCGAGATTGCTTCGCCATTTCTCCACCCTGCTATTCCCACTCAACGACTGTACCGGGATTCGCCCTTTCAAGGGCGGCAAACAACCTGCAAATTATAAAAAGGTAACCATAAATAAATAAATAACTATAGTTACAAACAACACGTAAATACGTTTATAATTAATTTTTGCTTACTGGGGAGTTGTGCGAAGTTCGATTCCCACGTGCCATGCAGACGATCAATGACTTTTTTTCTCCCGTGCCACGCCTTCTTGTAGCTGACATCGACACCCCAGGCACTTTTTACGTCGGCCTGGACCATTTCCACACTGTAGGTCACCTGCTTCTGAATCTTAGCCGACAGAAGATTTGAGATCATGGTGGCGGTCACATTCTTGTGGTCATTTCTCTCGAACACCTGCATGCAAGTGTGACTATCGGTCCATTCGGTTACCTCCTATATGTCGTGATCCCGTTTACCCGAGCCTTCTATATACATGGTACAACTTCAGCTGATCTGCACACAACTTTGAACGACTTCTTGTTGGAATCTTTTGTCCGGACCGTCCAAAGATTCTCAACATTCCAGGCCAGATTATCAGTCCGCGCTTCTTCCTTGGTACGAAAAACTGTACCCAAACGGGATAGTCTCGGCATGCCCATCCCAGACTGGCAAGGCATACTTGTCTCTGTCTACACACGACGAGTCCTACTCACCCATCTCGCGATAATCGTAGAGGCCTTCATTTGGAAAAGGGGTGTTCTTTAATGAATTCTTGTTCGCTCTCCTCATTAATTGATCTGTCCGATTCGGTTTCCGAGGTCTCATCAGTGAAATCGTCTTCACCGGGAATGAAATCTTAATCTCCAACAATTTCTTCCTCAATGTCCGGTCCTCTCATGGTAAAGCTCGTTCCTTCGCCGAAATTACTCGTCCCTTCACTGAAATTACTCGTCCCTTCGCCGAAATTACTCGTTCCTTCACCAAAATTACCGGCATGCGTAGTCCACGTACCCTCACCACCAAACATTCCCTCGTAACCATATGATGACGTAGGATCCTCAACCTGTGTAACCTGTGTGTTTGCTTCCAACACTATATATACATAAACACAAAGGACATAGGAGGAGAGTAGTAAATCCACGAAAGTGCATTATCATTATTCAGTCTTCCGGTAATAAACGAACCATCCTGTTGTCTCGCCATCAAAGTAATATCCGAAATTGTCCAACTATCACGAAACCCACCATTTTCGTAGATCATATCTACCAATTATTCATATGATATTATTCCATTAATAACAAATGAACAATCCGGACTAGACATATAATTCGAAAAATTACATAACTCTACTCTGGGGGAATTTTTCAGTACACATTAACAAAGTAGGGACCGTTAGACGACATTTATAACCTGTTGCACAAAAAAATTTCTATTTTACAAATTACAACAACACAAAATGGCTAATCAAACACCCCCAGAAAATTTCAATTATTACTTTACCAATCTACATTTAAAATGTCTAATCAAACACCCGAGAAAATTTCAATTATTATTTTATCAATCTACATTTAAAATTCATTTCCAACAACAACATATAATTAATTATATTTTTACTCCAACAAAAAAAAAAATTGTCAATTGATTTAACACCCGAAAAAATTTCAATTATTATTTTACCAATCTACATTTAAAACTCATTTCCAACAACAACATATAATTAATCATATTTTTACTCCAACAAAAAAAAAATTCAATTAATTTATCGAAAACACCACAAAAACCCTAATCACCATAATCCAACAATAACATCAAATTCATAAACAATTTGGATAAATATTCAACATATATTAAACCAACATTCAAGATTTTCTAAACAATACTCAATTAACCAAATCTATCTCTTAAACATTCTAAACAACCAAAAATTAATGTTACATTATATTAAAATAACAACTAACCTCTTCTTCGACGATTGGTTGAAAATTTATTAAATTCGAACGTTTTCTTTTAAAAAAAAAAATCTACATATTAAAAAACATTTATTAGAAAAAACGGATTTTCAAAATTCGGCCGTTTTATTCTTTTTCACAACTTTTTTTTTGCCACATATTTTTTTTTAAATAAATAATGCACCCGAAAGTGATGCCTACATATACATCTATAAAAAAATAATACGAAATAAACTAAAAAAAAAAGACTATGAAAAACAGCTGGAGTGAAGTGTCTGTTGGTGCACTATTGAAAAATACCCAGGCATAGAGTATAATGGCTTGTCGTTATTTTCTTTAAAATAATAATAATAAATTAAAGAAAATTTTTCATCATCATCTTAAAGCTAACTTTATTCGTGATATAACACTTAGATATCATCAGCTCGGTACTGAGATGATATTCGTTATAATAGCTCGAATTTTTTTTTATGTATGACGTCGATTGGGAGTTGATAAATAGCTCGTTTAGAATGAGATTGTTTGGCAATATCTCGACCTGCTTTGGTTTATTCGATCTATGAAGGTTATTATTTGTGCTAAATAAAAATTCATTGTATTTAATGATGAGATATTCTAATCATGATTATTTTCAAATAGATATCGACTTGAATAAACTACTCCAAACATGTTTTCTCTCTTTCTTGTAGGAGATATAGACTCTCATATAAACAACTCAGATATATTTGTGGAAATTGTTTATGAATGTGTTTACACTTAAAGTCGTGGCCAACTCCATGTTATCAATCTGTAGCATTACTTGTCTTACTAATATTTCCCTACCAAATAAAGTCCTGCCGTTGATTCGCTATTAAATAATATTTTTACACTATTTATCTCAATATTATCAATCAATTATACTCACACAACATATTAATTCAACATAACTCTCCTTAATATTATCAATCAACCATACTCACACATCATATCAAATATAATTCTTTATCTACTTATATATTTTTAACTATACATATTTCGAACCGCCTTTCTCTTATTTTTACAGATCAATTTTAATCATTACATTTTAAATATTGTTATAATACAAATTTAAAACATCACTCAATATCTAAAATTCTCTATTTAATCAACTTTGTGCAAATTTAACTTATTTAAACTAATATATTCAATTAATACAGATCTTATTTATATCCAATAGCGACAAAACTCTTTGTATGGCCCAACTTTTTGGCCTTTCAGTTCAGTTAATTCCTCCAAAATTCCCATGTTCAACTAAATTTAGGAAATGGTCATCTCTGATACCAATATTTC